AACTCATTCGTGCCCACGTTACTTGCAGACTTCGGTCTCTTCTCAGCGACGCCCTTATCGACAACGAAAACTACAGGGTCAACCTCAGATGATCCTGGCCCAGAGTTCCCTCTGAGCGCAAGACGAACAGAGTCGTCCACAGGCTTCTTTTCTGACAGTGACAGATACAAAGCACTCTTTTCCGGGCCTTCCACGCCCTCAATCTTGCAAACGTACCTCTTCAGTGATGCGGCCGTACGAGGGGGCCTCACTGATTTAGACGAGATACGACTGATGGAGCGATCGTTGGAGAAGATCGGGTTGTTTGATTCGAGTGGGCCTCCTTTGGTATATAACCGATAGTATACTGTGCGCATCATGTAAAATAGACGATAGATATGACAGAGAATACGCACTGTTGCGGTGTTCGCTAGCGCTTATCATTTGAGATGGCTAATTTATCATTTCGAATACGCCGGGACTCACGCAACAAGACTTACCGGCTCAGTTCCTCCCTGACCATCCAGAGACGCTTGGCCAGCGATATTCTTAAATTCATGCGCTCCATCGCCAGTTGGCATCGTGAGATTGTAGGTCGCAATGGTGATTGGAGCGAAGCATTCTCATGGTGCGTTGGATTCAGTCATGCGCTCATCCTGAAGCGCTCATTGACACCGGCTATCGCCGATGACACTCTTTTCAATCACACCACTTGCACACCACCTTCTTCCGTCCTTACGGCTCTGGTTTGGTGCTGTCCAGTGGCCCTCTCAACGTGTTCCGCTTCTACTTTACAGAGCTCTCCCTGCCATCCTGCCACTCCCGACCTCCACGACATGTGGTGAGTTTCCATCCATTTTCATCAGTATCCGTTTCGCTAACCAGACGTTTAGATCTGAACTTCACGACATAGTGCATAGACTATCGCAAACGCTGGGCCATTTAATGCCGCGCCATCCACGGATAACCTTCAAGAAACCGACGACTCCCTCTGAGCGTCCTCGTCATGTGGCATGGACATTCATATAATCGTGAACCAAGATAGGACTTCACATCCCAGCATTTCTTAGG